GTTTAGGGTTTAGGGGGATTTAGTAAGTAGATATTAAGTAGACTTATAAGTACCCTAAATGGGTTCCTAAGTGGGGTTATAGTACTTATAAGTCTATAAAATAACTAGTTACTAAGTCCTCCGACCCTCCAAGTGTGGTATGCCCAGAAAAGGACACCCCCGCAAATAGACTCGCAGGATACAGAGGAAGGAGAGAGTGGGTGAGTGAGTGAAGCCCACAACCCCTAAACCCCTAAACACCTAACCCCTAAACCCCTAAACCCCTAAACCCCTAAACCCTAAACCCCTAAACCCTGAACCACTAAACCCTGAACCACTAAACCCCGAGACCCTAAACCCGTAAGCTCGGAGGTTGAAGCGCAAAAACGCATTACGGTTTAAGGCTTCCAAACTGGGGAGGACACTAGGCGATCCCGCCACCTGCACCTTCCTACCAAAGGAATTTGCCAGGACGGCCGGCATAAGCACGAGACAGCAAGCCGTCCTCGATACATTTCCAGCTCAAGGGGCTCTTGCCGACGCAATCGCCCGCGACGGCACGGAGCAAGGTGGGGCCACCGCCAACGGCCAGTGCTCTTCCCGTTGGATCCCCCGCGCAGGTACTAGGCTCCAAAGCAGCCCTTCCAACCTCCAGGACGCAACACTCTCATTCCACCGATGGCAAGCATTCTGCCACCCCCCTAACCGCAATCTCAGAGAGAATTCCCTCTGAGTGAATGGCACAATGCCTGCAACTAACGGCAGAGACCCCAGACCTACAGTCACTCACCTAAAACCCATCATAGACCCTATGTCGCATGTCATCATGTCTTATGTTCAACCCACGAGGGTTCTATGGAAGCACGGCTCCAACCAACCAGTGAGGGCTCTGCCAGCTCACCTCAAATGGTGCCTCACCCAACCCTGAACCCCTCGCTGAGGGTTTAAAAAACACATGAGATCCACGAAAACTAGTTCTCCAAAACCCAACCTTTAAACTTTGGGCTATTATTGTTATCATTACTATTTAGTAGTATTCTGAAAGTTTAACCTTTTATTT